CACACACACACACACACACACACACACACACGCACACACGCAGAGTGATGACTACACGCCCAGACGCTTAAGAGTCATCTGTTTGTAGCAAGGGTGAGGCAAAATACACAACGAGTGAGTAAACTGTACACTCTTCAGACACACACATACTGTGTGTGTCTATGACTATACTCGTGGGGACAGTACCGTCGATGTGGGGACCTTTGACCCTGTGGGGACCCTTGACCCTGTGGGGACGTTTTTCCCGGTCCTGAGTGAGTGAACAGGTATTTTGTCTTTTATGGCAACATTTGGAATAAGGCAGTGGTTCTCAAACTGTGGTACGTGGTACGTGAGCGCTCTCTAGTGGTACGCAGAGGAAAATTCACATTTTCACATTTACATTTTCAGTTGAATAAATCTGAAACACACCATACACAATTAAAACAACATTTAAACATAAACATCTTTATAAACATCTCCCCTGTGTGGTTGAAGCTAACAGGGAAAGCCTATGATGCTATATGCTAACGTTGTTCATCATGGTGGTACTCAGAGAGATCCAGGTTTTCTTAGGTGGTACAGAGTATATATAGTATAATATTAGGTGGTTTTCAACAGTGAAACGGTCTGTGTTGACATCTTTACCTGTGTGTGAGGGTTGATCATTTAGCATTATTATTCTCCGTACTGTTGTGTGGATTAGATTTGTGTTAATGGATGTCTTAATATCCGCAGACATCGCAGAACTTTTGTGACAGTTTGTGTGTCTGTGAACGACACATCGTTAGCCGTCCAGTTCGATGAATTTCCTCTCGTCTCTCTTCCTTGCTTCGTCTCGTCTCGTACTGTCCGCCGCCCCAGAATGCCGTTGGGCTGCAGTAGAAATGATGGAGTCTGAGTTTTTTTTTGTTTGTTTTTTTTATTAGAGTGTGTGTGGATGAGAACTGTGTCTGTGAGAGACTTCAGAGTTCACTGCTCTGTTCACTGCTGGACTGTTTTTATTACCTTTTATTACAGTGTTCCAGCTCATGTGCATCAGTCATCTGCACAATGCTGCGCTCCTTTCACACACACACACACACATGCACACGCACACACATCACATGAGTCTCTTTGTTTTGGTTTGCAGCAGATAAAACACGTCTGTGTGAAGGAGACAAAGAGCTCTTATCTGCTCCATACCGTGAGTGTGTGTGAGTGTGCGTGTGTGCGTTTGAGAGAATGTGTGGGATTGTATCAAAAGTTTCCCAATGAAGTCATCTCACATTTGACTTCTGATTGGGGTGAGGAGTGTGAGGGGGGGAGGAGGGGGAGGGGGAAGTTGATATTTTTCGCCTTATTAAGACAAATGTCAGTTTAGTTTTGGTTTGGTTTTTTTCCACTTGATTGTCTCACACCGTGGTGCACATGCTCATACACGTGCACATGCTCATACACGTGCACAGGTGCTTTTGGTTGGAGGCCTCGTCAGATTTTGCTGAGGAGACCTTTAAAAGCCACCGTGACACACTTCCTGTGTAGAAGTAGGTTGATCACCTCGAACAAAACAAGTGAAGCAGAAGTAAAGCAGAAACCAGTCACAGTAAACATATATATGTATGTATTTATATGTATATGTATGTATTTATATATACTGTATGTATGTATTTATATATGTATGTATTTTATATATATGTATATTTATATATATATATATGTGTATATATGTATATATGTCTGTATATATGTATATATTTATATGTGTGTATATATGTATATATGTATATATACGTATTTATATATGTGTGTATATATGTGTATATATGTGTGTACATGTATATATGTATATGTAGGTGTGTATATATGTATATATATATGTATATATGTGTGTATATATATGTATATGTATATATATATGTGTATATATGTACATATATATATTTATATATATACTTATATAAATACAAAATATATATCTGTGGTTGAGTTTGAGGCCTCGGTGAAAGTTGTTCTGTATTCCACTGTTTACTGTGCTGACAGTTTTGATTTTTAATTGTTTTGTTTTTTTAAAAGTCAATATATCATCATGCCTATAGTATCGCATATATCATCATGCCTATAGTATCGCAAAGTACAGCAGTATATATTGCAACATATCGTCCGACCATACGTATCGTACCAGACTCTTTCCAGTACACAGCCCTAGTATTTGAATATAAGGCAAATGTTTTCCCTTTATAAAAAAAGAACAAACCTAGTTTGAATATTCACTGCTGTCAGTGTCAGTACACATCAGTACACATCAGTACACATCAGTACACATCAGTACACATCATCTGTGCAGTGGTTCATTGATGTATTTCCATCTTCATCAAGGTCGACCGATCACGGCAGCTTCGGTGTAAATGTTTTGATTTTGGTCACATGACCTGATGACCTTTAGGGAAGGAGGAAACAGAGTAAAAGTAATCAACATAAGGGGACGAGGAATGTTGGTGACGTTAGGTTTGAGCTCAGGGTCAGGAGGTGCGGGTGGGACCTGCTGCTTCCTCACTCTATTTCCTACACACACACACACACTTTTTCACATTTGCACCAAACATTACCAACGACACAATGAGCAGGGGCAGCACTGAGGCGGAGTGGGCAAGGTGTTTCCTGTGACCTCCCTGACTGCTGCGTTGATACTGACACACTCGGGTGTGTAAGCATGTGTGTGTGTTTTGACTGAAGCAGCTCCGTTTTTGTCCCATTAGTCTTCATCACCCTCTCCTGGTCTGAATGCGTTAACGACAGTGTAAACAGCTTTACTTATGTCTGTGATGTTCATCCTTTATTCACGAGCCGCTCCATGTTTTATTCATGCGCTGCTCAGGCATTTGCAGAGCGGATGAATATTAGATTAAAAGCACTTGTCTCTTATTCATGAGCTGCGATATTTTGGACGTTATGGAAGTCCTTTGAACTTTTGCCGTGTTTCAACACAAACACAAACCCAAACTAAGCTAAAGCTAAAGCTAAATATCACTGTTTCTGTAACTCTGTGTACGTCACCATCTCTGTGTTCACGTTGGCGCCCCCTTGTGTGTGTGTTTGCTGCAGGTTTGCACTGCCCTGCTATGGAGAAGATGAAACGGATTAAGAAGCGTCTGTCGTTAACACTTCGCTCCAGTCAGACCATCGACGAGTCCTTGTCCGAACTGGCCGAGCAGATGACCATGGAGGACGGCGGCACCAAGGACAACGGTCAGTGTTCGATAACGTCATTTACGAAAGTGTCGTGAGGAGTTTTTAGATTAGGTACTGTAGCAGCAGCAGCAGCAGCAGCAGCAGCTGTGGACAGGGTTATATGACAGGAGTGAGTGGAGGAGAGACACTTGATCTGATGTCATCAAACAGACACTCCTGCTCTCTCAGGTAACAGCAGGTGAGAGGCTGTTCATATGGAAGACACTGACACCATATAATAATAGAGAGCCTTTGAAATGAATCACGATTAGTCATTAATTGTAACATTTGAAACAATATGCAGTTGAACAAGTTTGTTTTATTGCGATCAATTCTAACAATGACAAACTTCTCAACTTTAACAACAAAAAGTGTCATCTTTCTACTTCATTTACAGATCAGTTACAAATTTGGTATTCAATATTTTGACATGTATTTGGCTTTAACGTTTAACTACAACATCTGTCTACACTGTACCACGACTGTTGTAGCTAACGTTAGCTCTGGTGGCTGTACCACGACTGTTGTAGCTAATGTTAGCTCTGGTGTCTGTACCACGACTGTTGTAGCTAATGTTAGCTCTGGTGTCTGTACCACGACTGTTGTAGCTAACGTTAGCTCTGGTGGCTGTACCACGACTGTTGTAGCTAAAGTTAGCTCTGGTGTCTGTACCAGGACTGTCGTAGCTAACGTTAGCTCTGGTGTCTGTCCCCCGACTGTCGTAGCTAACGTTAGCTCTGGTGGCTGTACCACGACTGTTGTAGCTAATGTTAGCTCTGGTGTCTGTACCACGACTGTTGTAGCTAAAGTTAGCTCTGGTGTCTGTACCAGGACTGTCGTAGCTAGCGTTAGCTCTGGTGTCTGTACCAGGACTGTTGTAGCTAACGTTAGCTCTAGTGTTTGTGCTCCTCTTACAACTAATTGTTGTTTTATAGTAAAGTTGAACACAGTGTTTAATGTAGTTGAGCTGTACGATCGTCCAATCCCTGAAGATTAAGGATTAGTAATTTAGCTTCACTAACAGAGATTTCAAAATAACTGTGAAATGTGAACATACTTCCATGGGTTGGGTCGGTACTCTCTGTCTGTGCTGTTGTTGATGTTGTGGTTTAACATGTGTGTTCTGTCTGTGCTGTTGATGTTGTGGTTTAACATGTGTGTCGTGGTATAAATAAATGTTTGTATGCTCTTGGAGTCCATGTTATTCTGAGAACCGTTTTTTATTTGTGGTCTTCTAGAACCATTTATGAGGAACGGCCGCCCGCCCACATCCCACAGTATGCACTCCTTCCTCCACCAGTACACTGGTTCCTTCAAGAAGCCCCCCCTCCGGCGGCCTCACAGTGTCATCGGCGGCACGCTGGGCTCCTTCATGGCAATGCCACGCAACGGCAGTCGTCTTGGTGAGCGAGTCTGCGTCTTCACACAAACACAAACACAAACACGCTGGACACTCACACACAACACGACCCTTACATTGAAGGAAGTGAGTAGTGAGCGAGCAGATGGCATCCGGGAGCAAACAGGAAATGTGTCACGGTCCTGAGATTTCCGTCCTCCTCCTTACATTCACAAATACACTGTGGGACGGAGCGAGTGGGCTCCGTCTCCCCACGCCTCACCCTCAGCACGGCTGTTTTCTCTGGAGTGACAGATGATCGCGGGCTTCTGTCGAACATGACACAGTTTCCTGTGTGAACCATTTCATCGCTCCCCCGTCTTCAGGAACCAGTCCCGTCCTTATGGCGGAAGCACAGCGTTGCTGTCGATGGTTCAGAGCAGCAGGTTTTAAAGTGGTCGCTGAGGAAGCAGATGGGAACTAGGGTGATGTGGTGAGAGGGTGAGGCAAAGGGGTTTTCAGAATATTTAAAAAAAAAAAATTATCCAACTCAACATCTTCCATTTAGGTCTAAATGCAAGCTGAGATCAAGGGTTGTTCTTGTTGGATAATTCCGTCTTTGTGAAATTCTGGATGTTTTCAGCGTGAGGTCAATTTGACTGAATTATGGTTCCTTTGAAATCTGTCAGTCTTGGAAGGGAAAAAAAAAATCAAATGAAGCCAAATCACTACCTCCTGAAAAACCTTCTGATAAAACACTGGTTTTGTTTTTATTGACGTTTAAAAAACGTATTAAATGTAACACAGAACAATAATTGACAAAAGATACATCGTATCAAAAGTTAGAGAAAAAAAAACGATATAGTATATCGTATCGTTGCCCCAGTTGCCAGGTTTTTGTCAATACACCCCACTACCAATCATATACTTGTTACCTGCCGACCACACCAGCTTAGATCTTAGTGGTTGATTAATGTTTCTGCCTCCGGCGTTTCTGTGATTTGCTGTGATACCCTGGAGTTGAAGTCGTATCCGGACCCTCAGGATTGACTTTCTCTGTGTTTCACCGGGGGCTCGTTCAGCCCAGCACTGGACCGTGGCCTAGATTGAAAGGACATGGATCTAAAAACAGGACATTTAAGTAGGACATTGATGTAACACGTATTGCTGCTGCACTGATTAAAGAGCAAGAGAAAAGCAGAATTGATGAATTCGTAGAAGACACAGGATCGCAAATCCAAAGACCCGACAAAAAGGTCAGGTATACCGTGGAAGGTTTCAAATCGAAGAAGCGAAAATTGTAAATGTAGGCTAAAAAAAACACCAAAAAAAATTGTAGTAGAGAGATTTCATGAGTTCAGGTTTTAGAAAAAGAAAACGCTGAGTGAAAGTGAAAACCCGGTGAAGCCGTGAAGAATCCTGCGGAGTTGTCTTGGTGGATAAGGAAAGAGATAAATTTAGACGTGATAATGGAGAAGTATGTGAGTGAAAGAGAAAGTAGGGCAGATAAAATTGATTGCATGCTTTGGAGAAGCAGCAAACAGGTAGTGGAGGAATGTGATGAAGGGTGTAGGGGAGAGATGGAGCGCCACCTACGAAAACGCTGCACGAAATGACCAGAAGAAATGAAGAGTATGAAGAGTGAGACGGAGTGAGACGGAGTGAGTCGTTGGAAGGATTGTTGAGGTTTTTATAGTTTATGTAGGAACATGTGTTACAGTAAAGTGATGTGAAACAGAAGGTGAAAGGAATGTTTCTTGGAAGTTCTTAAGTATTCCCCACCTGTTTGGATGAAGTAAGACACGGAGTATTCTATGAACTACAGCCTGCAGTATTTATATAAATAAATTAAATAAATGTGTCTTATATTGTTGTGTTAGCAGCAGATATGCTGTTCAGCAGCCGATTCCTCTAGGAATCTAACCCAGGACTCTCTGCTCTCTGCTTCCGAGGCAGACGTGCTAACCGCTACGCTATGGAACCGACTGTCACGTGTTATTTATCAAAAGACAAACTGAGGTTTTTTTGAAAGGAATCTTTATTTGATTTAAATTTGGAGGAAGAACTGTTTTCTGAATCTGAAGCGTCTTGGCCAACGTTAAAGAAATTCTCACTTGCATTTTGAGAATTTTGAGGAACTCTGTTAGGACTACCAAAGGTCAGGGATGACCTCAGACTTCCTGAAAGTCGCCGTCACATGGGGACAGAAAACAGTCCTTCACCAAAACAATCCTAGTTCTAGTTAGTTGTTGCTAACTAGTTGTGTTTCCAAATCTACACCTGTGACCTTTTAAAAAAATACTTTAAAGTATTGTGTGTGTGTGTGTGTGTGTGTGTGAGAACAAACATCTGAGGAGGTGCCCCCCTCCCCAGTATGCCCTGAAGGGTGGATCGTGTTCATGCCTGCTCAGCAACGTGGACACACATCTGGAAACACCTTCTGTTTTTGTTCCCAGTTCCGGAGAAAATGTTCCGGGCAGTGACCCCGAGTCGTGGAGTTTCTTTACGAAGTGTCGCTGCCACTGAGATACTGCTTCCTGTGCTTCTCCTCTGCAGACTAGCAGTATGGAGGCAAATAGAACCAGATGATTGGTTCAGATGTTTGATTCAATGTCGTGAGAACGCTGAATCCATTTTGCTTTAGGTCCAGGACCCACTGAAAACTAGTCTCTGCCACCAAAAGTGGGTCGTGACCCACCAGTTGAGAACCGCTGGTCTAGTTCCTGTTGGTTCGGTGAGTCAGTCTCAGGGGTTCGGCGGAGGACAAAGACACTCACTTGACCACTATGATTTGTGATGACACCCCCCACCCCAGCCCAAGGGTTCGGTGAATGTGCATATGAAACTGGTTGGGTTCAGTTCCTCCAACAAGGTTAGGAACCACTGACCTAATGTTACCTTTGAAACACCAGGAGCACAATAAAAACAGACGGACAAACAGTGCACGGACAAAACAGTATCCCACCCTGTGGGTTTAAATAATGGACTCGTGACCAAAGACTTGAGACTTGGACTCGTAACCAAAGACTTGAGACTTGGACTCGTGACCAAAGACTTGAGACTTGTGACCAAAGACTTGAGACTCGTGACCAAAGACTTGAAACTTGGACTCAAGACTTGAGACCTGGACTTGTGACCAAAGACTTGAGACTTGGACTTGTGACCAAAGACGACTTGTGACCAAAGACTTGCTTGGACTTGTGACCAAAGACTTGAGACTTGGACTTGTGACCAAAGACTTGAGACTTGGACTTGTAACCAAAGACCTGAAACTTGAACTTGTGGCCAAAGACTTGAGACTTGGACTCGTGACCAAAGACTTGAGACTTGGACTTGCAAAAAAAAAAAAAAAAGAGTTGTGAACACCTCTGACCTCACACTGATTCCACAGGCAGGTTTGTGAGTCAGGTGAGACTCACCTGTGCCTAAAGGTTGTAGGTTCACTGCATTATAATCGAGTAGTAATTTCTGTAGCGTATGTTGTCGACTTAATGAAGCTAAGTGACGATCGCTCGTCTACTAAATCTGGATTGTGGTGTCGTTGACAACAGTGTAGACAGTTGATCTGGATCAACAGAAACCGTCCAGGTTTCTTTTTTTCCCTTCTGTCCTGTTTTTGTCCTGACGACGGGCTGAACAGTCGGAGGCGCTGACACAGTGATGACAGAGAACTGCTGCTCAGGCACGGCTACTCATTAACTTGGAGTAGTGTGTGTCTGTGTGTGTGTGAGTGGGTGGGGTGAGGAAGACGGTGTGCATGTGGTTTGTGCATCAGTGCGTTTGTCCTCGTGCTGCGGTGTAGGTTGTAGTTTTACAGTGGAGGAGGTGTTTAATCTTCGGCCTCCGGGGGGCTGCAGAGAGCTGAGAGGAGATGATAGAGACACAGCTGGGGGGGTAATTGGGGGTTTCTTAAAAAAGATCTTTAATAATTTAGTGTAACATTGGTCGAACCAATGCCCCATGAATCAGTTATTACTTCCAACATGAGTCGTACATGCAAATGTATTTTCTTAAAAATGATCCAGTTCTCACATCGACCGGTCACTTTTAGATCCAGTTTGTTTAATTCCAAATTGGTTAATAGTTAATTTACTGGTCCAGTATCTTAAGTGTCTGTGGTTCTGAAGGTCGACCAGACTACAGACACAGAGATTTCAAGATAAAAAAAAATAAAAAAAAATTGGACTATCTGTTTTGTCCGACTAGTGGAAAATGACTAAAGTGAATGTTTTTTATCTAGTGTAAAAACGACCAGCGATCAAACCGTGATCGCTGGTCTGTGGAACAGTTGATTTAAAAGACCAGTTATTAGTGCTCTGATATAAAAGTGAGCGAATATTACAACTAAAACAAGGAAATGTACAAAACTGATGCATGAAGAGATGGAATTTTTCATCTACTGTGTTTGTACAAATGGAAGTCGGCCAACATCACAGTCACGCCACACAACAGACGGCAGAGCGTCTGGCAAACACAGTATTTTTCAAATGAACTGTCAATAAAAAAAAAAAGGCGAGGGATTCTGCGTCATGTAGCTTCCTCACCCACACCCACTGCTCCGTTGCCCCCTAGTGGAAGCCACCTTCAGCAGAGTTGGTTTTGCCAACTCTTTATTACAGTGAACTGAAGGTGAGCTTCAATAGAGTTTAATACACGCTGCCTGTACGTGTAAAAAAATCTCTCATCAGGTCGTCTGTGATAGACGGCACAAACTACTCAGGTGATTGATTGAAGATGAAAAATAAAACACTGATTATTGATGGATAATTTCCTGTCAGTGACGCCGACATAAACCTGTTTTTTTCATCACCAGCACGTGAAACCGCGATGGTTCAAATCACGACTCTGATGTAATACAGCTGTCAAAAACAAACAAACAAACCAACCAACCAATCATCACTAACACGTGAAACCGCGATGGTTCAAATCGTGACTGTGATGGAATACAGCTGTCAAAAACAAACCAACCAACCAACCAATCAATCAACAACGATCTTGTACTTCTCTCACCGCCAGATATCGTACACGAAAACCTGAAGATGGGATCAGATGGAGAGAGCGACCAGGCGTCTGGGACGTCGTCTGACGAGGTTCAGTCTCCCACCGGGGTCTGTCTGAGGAACCGTATCCACCGGAGGATCTCCATGGAGGTGAGATGCTCATGCAGGTCCACACACGTACTGCACACACACACACACACACCCTGCTGTAAGGGCAACAGCGAGGACGGCTGCCTCTGCCTCTGAGCCTAGAGTTAACCCTTCACTCTCTCCTCTCCCGCTGATCTGATCTTCACCGTCCTCCTTCCCTCCTCCCTGGTGCCAAAATAGATGTTGGGGGGGCAAGGAGGGGAGGTCGCACCCCCCCCTCGGGGCTCTTGATGTCTGGGCATCATGACAGTGATTGCACTTTCCTCAGGAGCTCACTGTTGTGACTGTCTGTTCTGTAACATCAGTGTTTGTCAAAGTGAAGTCGACGACGTGTCTGGAATTAATTTAATTCTCTGTTGGTGATTATTTAAAGAGACCGGTTTTATATATTTATTTAATTTATAAATATTATTTGTCTGATCAAAAGCAGGTATTTATCATAAACACTGCACTGCACTCAGCTCAGTGACTCAGGAATGAAGAACTTTGGTGTTGTTGGAAGAACTCACATTTCATTCTACTGGATTTTCCCCCCATCGTGTAGTCAGTGTTTTTACTTCCTTCATTAAATTAACAAAAAAAAAAAAAAATACCTCCAGTGTTTTCCAAATGTTGTGGAATGTTTCCCGCATCACTAGATAACCATCAATATTCTCCTGAATGTGTAAAACATGAGGGCTCCACATGGGTGTCGTCTGCCCCCTGCTGGCGCTAAATGGCACCATCACCCACCGACCTCTTGTTTGTCTGATGTTTGTGGCTCAGATGAACCCACGTCTGTTCTGTGTTTCTCCCAGGACCTGAACAAACGTCTGTCACTGCCGGCTGACATCCGAATCCCTGACGGCTACCTGGAGAAGTTACAGCTCAGCAGTCCGCCCTTCGACCAGCCGCTCAGTCGACGCTCTCGTCGAGCTTC